ACGAATATTTAACACAAGACATAATCAAGATTTATATATATGTTTAAAAGAAACGTATTTATTCATTATCTATCTGAACTATTTCTATATTCATTCTATACTGATGGTTGTTTTATATTTATAGTTTCTACATAAATGATCGAATCATCATCATCATCATCATTAATATCGATTTGTTGTGGAGTATTTAAGCAGCTGCTTTGTTCAAGTCTTATTTGTTTTCTTTCCAATTCGTTTTCATCATCATCATCATCTTGACATGTTCGTTTAGCTGTTACAACTGGTAATTTATTAAATTGTTCATAAAGATACTTTAATCGATAAAATACCAATAGAATATCGTGATATTCTGCTCTTCGATTATTATTCATTAGAATATTCGCCTTTTGTAATAATTCGGGTATTTCAATTGGTTGTATTGTTTGTATACGTTCAAGATCATTTTCACAGATTTGAATTATAGTTTCTAAATGAATTAAAGCATTTTCTCGATCATTTCTGAAACATTTTCCACATAAATGACAATCGCAACATGGACACAGATTTAATAAATGAATTTGTTTACACTTTGAACATTTTCCTTTAATATCATAATTAATTGGAACTAAATCACATAATTGTATGTGAGTATATGATTTAGGAAATTGACTAGAATTTGTAAATGGAAATATCGATTGACACAATGGACAAGTTGTTATTATACAACGATCTTTTATTGAAGTAGTCACTGGTATACATGAATAACAAAAAACATGTTGGCATGGTAATACTCGAGGATCTTTATCTTTAAAACATTCTAGACATATTGGACATTGAATAATATCTTGAATACTTGAATAAGAATATGCTAATTTTGAAGTAGAAGACTCAGTAGTAGTTGAGAAATTTAGAGCTAAAAAATATCGAAATAAAATTTAATTTTTTCCAACTTTCTTGGGAATTTCCCCATTAGTCATATATCAACTTACTTCCTACGTCTAGTTGATTATAATTATTTGATTCGTTTGTTTGCATAATTAGTAAAATTCGGAATGTGGACGTTATAATCGAAAGTAGTTGTATAAAAGTATTTATTTCATATATACGATTT